GTGTGTGTGTGTGTGTGTGTGTGTGTGTGTGTGTGTGTGTGTGTGTGTGTTGTGTGTCTTTTTCACCTCTCTTGTTCTGTATGGTTAGAATCCCAAGTTCACTGTCCTATTCAGTCACCTTGAATTGTGGCAGGGGATTGTGTTCTATGTGGACAGTTGGGATTCCCCGGCTTTCTGAGTGCCTTGCTGATTCTGTCCTCCTAGCTGTTGGCCTCATAAACCCCCATCTGCCTGTGTTATGTCCAGCAGCACCATGAAATATCCAGGCCCCCAGACACTGTAGGGTTGTTTGACACAATGCTCAGAGGCCCTCAATCATCAGTCCTTCTCATTACCTAAGTGAATTTCTGCTGGGTTTGTGCCCACATGTAGAGCGTTCCTGTGACCTCACCTCGGGGTCCCCTATCCATTTTCAGTAGCTTCCCGGCCTTCGTGTTCCTTGCTCTCTATTAGGATGTTTTGAACATATTCGTGTTTCTGCTGGAAATCATCCATTTAATCTTCTGGCACTACCTTTGATGCTTAGTGGTGACACTGAAGGGTCAGGATTAGGGATATCTGAAGACAAGTTGAAGAGAGATTATACGTATAACTAATAGCCACATCCAGACCTTAGCACAAATGGAAGGTGATTACTCCTTTACGTTTCCAAAATCTTTCATGCTGCATTTCAAACTTGGGTGACAATATCTTCTCTGCTGAGTTTCATGTAACATCTTTCTGTCATCACAAGCATCCTGGAGACCTAACTGCACTCCAGAGCTGGTTGTTGACTGCCCTTGGCCACAGTCACCCTCTCACCCCTCCTGCATTCTCCTCCCTGTGTAGGGTGCTCATTTGATCCCTCATTTTAAGGATTGAACCTGCTTTGCAGCTTTCTGGATAGAACCAAGAAAACTGGGTTTCAAGGAGGAGAAGCACTTCATCCTGCTGCAAAATGAGCTGAAGGTGGGGCTCAGCATGAGGGCCCAAAAGACATTGTTACTTTCTCTAGCGTCCATTGCCTACCCTCCTAAACAGAGAATTCTGTGTGCTCCAGCTTGTGGGAGAGAGGGCGGACTGCTTTCCCTCAGTTCCTCCTCTCCTAACCCCTTTGTGCACTTAGGGTCCTTTAATCGGCCGGTGGTTGTGTTTTCTCTTGGCGGAGGGATGGGACAGAACAGACCCGAGCTGCAGTTCCTTCACTCTGCCTCTGAGAATTTCTCATCCAAACCTCAATCACGTAGGATTGCGTAGAGAGGAGAAAAGGGGAGAGACAGAAGACAGAGAAGGGGGAGAGGGGTGACGGGAGGGAGGGAGGGAGAAGAGAGTCTGGGAGCAGCGGGTGCCTGGGAGGGGAGGAGGACGCGAGCGCGCCGCGCTTCCCTGCGCTCCGGGAGCCCGACCCCCGGCCCGGCCCCACCTGGGCGCTCTCAAGCCCTTGGACGGGTGGGTGAGCAGTGCCAGAGGTACTCCGGCGGCCGCCAGCTATTCATTCGTACCACCCTCCGTCTCCGCGGCTGTGGTCCCCGCCTAGAGTTTCCTGCGGAGCTAGCGCTCCAGCGGAGCAAGCCGGCTGGGCGGCGGCGGCGGCGGCGGCGGCGGCGGCGCCCGGGAGCCAGTGAGGCTCCGCGCGCCCAGAACCTCTGCCCATGAATGGAACTCCGCCCTGAGCGCCCCCTCCCGGGCCTGGGGAGGCGGTGGCGCGGCGGCTGGGGGCTCCCCGCTACCCCGCGACTCTGAGCGGCCACCCGCGCAGCAAGTTGGGCAAGTTGGCGGCAGCCCGCACCTGCTCCCTGGCCCCGACCCTAGATTCTGCGTCCGGCTCCGGGGACGCGCTCGATAGCCTCCCGCCGTCGCCCCGGACGGCCTAGGGGCCCCGCCTGCGCTCCCGGCGCCAGACCATGGTGGGCAGCTCCGGCTCGGAGCCGCAGCCGCCTCGAGCCGACGTCGCCCGCAGCCAGCCCCCGCCCCGCCCGAGCCGACGCGCGGGGGTTCGCAGCACGCCGGTCACTTCCTTCCTCGGCCGGGATGGGCTGCGCGGGAGCGAGTGATCGGCCTCGCGTCCGGCGGGTAATCCCCATCTGATCTGCTGCCTGGGAGCTGCGGACTGCCGGGCCGCGCGAGCCTGGGGGGCCCGGGCACCGCGGCGATGACCTGATCCCGAGCCCGCCAGGGCGCCCCCTCCTTCCCTCTTCCCTCGCTCCCTCTGAGCCTGTGCGGAGACCGGCTCGGTGCGGCGGCCCCGGACGGACCATGGCGGGGAGCTCCAGTTAAGGCGTGTGGGCGCCGAGCTGGAGAGGACACCTTCGGCATCGCTGCCTTTTGAGGGGGCTTATTTAAACTACTGAGTCATTCCAGATTTAGGATTCCCTAAATAATCACCAACTGTGCCCGTCTTGTGCCAGAAAGCGAGCAGAAAGAGCAAGAGCGCCCGTTCTTGGGACCCCGCGCATCCCCGGCGCTCGCCTCTCGCGGGTTTCTCCCCGAGGGGTGCTTGGCCCTCGAGGATCTCCCTCCCTCCGTCCCTCCCCCCTCCCCCGTCCCTCCCTCCCTCCCCCTCCCTCTCCTCCCGCTCTCTTCGCAGCGCTGCTGGCTGGGAGTCGCGCGCACCGCAGCTGGAAACAGCTGCCCCTGCCCCGCGCCCCTACCCCGACTCGGGCTCACGGCTCCCACTTCGCGCCTCTCGGGATTCCAGAACTCCGGCGGCCGGTCCCTGGAGAACCGCAACCGGCGCAATGCATTCCGTAGACCTCACCCAGCCGGGACGGACCTCCTAATCTCCAGAACTGCGGGCCGCAGGGAGTTAAATTGCTGCCTTCCTCTCCTTCTCTCTGGCGGTTGGTGGCTTGTTTTCTAAAGGAACGTTTTATTCACTTTTTAGTATTTTCTACCGGGGGCACGCTACCCGCCTCGGTCCAGACTCTGCTTTGTAAACGGGTTTTATATGTATGTATGTATGTATGTGTAGATATACTTTGGACACCTTACAACGCTTGCGCCTCTCCAACGGGGGCACGGCTTGTTGTTTTGGACATCCTTCTTACCCTTCCACTTGCTACTCTGTACGCAGTGTGACCAAACTCCCCACTGCCCCTCGGACGCAGATCGCCTTGGGGTGCAAGTTTGGGGTGCAAGAATCTAGTTAACTGGAAGGCCTGGGACCGCCCCGCCCCCGCTGCCAGCGATTGGGGAAGTTTACATCTGGATTTTCACACATTTTGTCGCCACTGCCCAGATTCTGACTAACCTTGTGGGCGTCGGGTTTTCGGTACTGCAGCCTCCTCAAATATTAGCACTGCCTCCCCGCGCCTGCCCTGTCCCTCCAGGCCGCCGAGGTCCTGCCCTCGCCCCAGTGGAGCGCGATCCCGAGGGCGCAGTGGAGCCCGGGGCCTGGGGCCCGCGCTGAGCAGCTATGGCTGCGGCGATAGCCAGCTCCTTGATCCGGCAGAAGCGACAGGCGAGGGAGTCCAACAGCGACCGGGTGTCGGCCTCCAAGCGCCGCTCCAGCCCCAGCAAAGACGGGCGCTCCCTGTGCGAAAGGCACGTCCTCGGGGTATTCAGCAAAGTGCGCTTCTGCAGCGGCCGCAAGAGGCCAGTGAGGCGGAGACCAGGTCAGTAGAAGCCCAGGCGGTGGGCTCCCCAGAGCTGGCACCCCTCTCCTCTTTTGCAAAGCACCTGGGGGCACCCACCGAAGGGAACCAGGATCCCCCTGGTGCCATTCTGGTCCCCCTTCTCCCTTAATTTCCAGATGTCTCTCTTTCAATCACCCTCTGTCAGTTAATAGCTTCTTGTCCCATATTCAGGAAAACACTTTGTATCTCCATGAAACTACGGTTTGACTAGGATGGGAGCTACATGTATAGATGCTCCTAGTCCCATAAAGCCTGTAGAATCCTTGAGGCATCAACCATCTCATTCATAGTCTCTCTCTGTTTCTCATCCATCCATCTATCCTTCCAGGGCTTATACTGCCTGCTGAGGACCCAAATATAAAAAACCTTCTTCCCTGTATCTCCCATAACATTTAGCATAGTTCTGGACACAGACACTTAGTAGACACTAGATGAGCTTATTTTTTTTCTTTTTCTAACTCTTCCTCCAGCAACACATGATACGGCATCTTTTCAGACATTCCAGTGGGTTCTCACCTCCCCACTTTCCTGCATGCCCCTTCTCTTCCTTTTAATCTTTTTTCCTATTCTCTTTCTCCCGTATTCTCCTGGTTTCTCAGGGTTCTGCTCATTAACATTTCTGCCCTATTGCTCCCATCCTTTGCACACTCACTTTCTTTTGGGACATTAAGGAAACACCATAGTATCTGCAGTTTGGCCTAAGGGAGGGTGAAAAAAAAAAAAACCAACAACCCAAAACTTTAGACTTATCAGAGATTTTCTTGTTAAGGCCTTTCTGAAGTTGATTCTCTTCTTTGTTCCTAAACTCACATGGTTGGCCTTGGATGTGATCTTTATTTACAAAGGGAAAGTGGGTATCTTGAGTTCCAGGGTACTTATTCCCAGCTCAAATCAGGCCAGCTTGAGAGAATGAAAGCGGAATTGCCCAGATTTGTCCTTCCACCAGACTTTGTTGATCCTCAGGGTGTGGCCCGCCTGGTCATTTGCAGTCGGCAGGTACTCTCCTCTTGGTTTGGTCAACTGAAAGGAAATATGGCCTAGAAAGAAGGCTTGCTCTGTGATCAGTTGACTGGTTTAGGTTAGCAACTTTGCAATTCTGACTGTAATGTTCTTCTGGGTTCCAGAAATGAAACACGGGCTAGGGTCATTTGGGTGAGGAAAACATTTGCAAAGTGTGGACCAGTGAAGCTCAGAATTAGTTTAGAAATTTAGGATTAAGTCTTATGAAGAAACCATCTCATTTTCATTTTTCGCATGGGTTTTCATGACATGATTCACTTCACAGTGGACTCCTCTTATTCTGGGATGTTGATCAAATAGTAAATTTCAGGAGTAAACAAAGAGATGATGATCCCAAGGTGAGACCTACTAAAATCTCTTTTGGTTTACATACAATTAATATAGGCTATTAATTTCATAACGTGAAGCTTTCTATGAAAACTAGGGTTCTATATTTATAGAGTATATAATTCATGTTAGGGGAAAATAAAATCCTTTGTATTGTGCAGGGATAATTTGGGGGTCATCTTCTCTGAGGGCTTATGTGGTCTACAAGGAACTTCAAGGCTCTGAATTCAATGTAACTCTTATATTTCAGCCTTTGAAGTATGTTCTTGTGCTGCAGTTGGGATAATTAAGTGATGTTTGTCAATAGATCCTACTCAGCCTCCTCGGTTCTAAACAAGGCAGTAAAAATGATAGGTGGGTGTTATTTGTGAATGGATGAGCTGAACTCACCTGATCCTTGTGGAAGTTGATCTGGAGGTGAACAATTTGCATGGCTTAATTTTACATGGGGAAATTGCTTCCTGTGGCCCTTTCCTTAGCATCTCATTAGAAAATAGAATTTGAGGGAATTGCTGAGTTTATTGTTTTCTTCAGTGTTTATTTAATCTGCTCCTCTTTTTCATTTACTTAGTGTACATCTTGGCAGAGAAGATCCTGGCTGGTGACTTCTTTTATTTAGCTAAAGTCTCACAATAATAATCTGGCTGAGAGATCACAAGCCCTGTTAAGACATGCCCAGTGCAAGGCCAACATGCATGTGTCTGTACACCATGGTCTTCAGTTTGGTCTGAAGCTTAGCTTAGAAGAATGGGAGTGTGGGGTGCAGAAAAAGATTTAGAAAGATGTTAGCGTGCTATTATCGCTACTAACAAAGCCAAATAATTAGTCTGTTGATTTGCTGTCAGCAACCATGATTCACATAGCATGGGATGAGCCTATTTATAGAGAGATAGCACCTTCCACATCTCAATTCCAGAGAGGATTCTTTAACTGGATTGGGAAGAAGTTGCTAACCACCAAAAAGAAAAGCTATTTGAGGGAAGCTGTTTTATAAGCATTTGATGTTACCTTCACTTAATAGTTGAATTATTCTTGAAATCACTTGCCCTTCTAAGTCATACCCTTATGAACTATAAACTGAGTCACAAATGTTAATAAGTGTGAAATGGAATAACTTGTCCTGATAAAGAATTTTCACTCTGAAATTCTGTCATTGAGACACACGTTCCATTGACCAGACTTGCCAAGGGAATGAAGCTGAGACAGTGAAACTAAATAAAACATTGGATGGGAAAGGCCACAGCTGTTTTTCTGATTTCACAGCTGACATATTGAGTGTCTCTCAATTTCTTGTCTTAGTTCACCAAGTTCTGATATGTATAAGGTTGAAACTTTATAGACACAGTGGGAGTATGGAAATTACATGGTAAAGGTTTCAGATTTTAAAATCATGATATTGCACAATTAAAAAATAAGAGGTGACAGTGCAGGACCTCACATCATGCAATTCCAGTGTCAGGGTGCATGTCAGTTGCTTTAATAATGCTATCCCAGGAGCACAATGTGATGGCTTATCCTGGGATTGTGCAGCAGCGAACTCCTTACTTAGATGTGAAAACCTAGAATCAGGGCAAGTTGGTGGTTTATAGAAGGTTGTGTAGCTAGACTGGGGCAAAATTGGGACTAGAAATAGATCCAGTTGATTTGTCTTGCCTGTGCCCTTTACAACACAACACTGAGAAAAGTAGTATAAGAAAACTGGGTGCCCTCTACTAAAGGATGGAAGTAATTTTGTAGATTTTGCATTTGTTTTTATTGTTAGGGATTGCTGCTGCTGCTGCTGTTGTTGTTGCTATTGTTGCTATTACTTTTTTTAATTAGAACAGGAATAGTGCAGAGTACAGGAGGTAACTGGTAGAAGGTGGTATAGGCTAAGTCAGGCAATTAGGGTTCCAAAATGACCATCCTATAGCTAGCATGCATTATAGCAAGAAAGCAGGAATAGTTAGTCCCTTAGGTACTGCATGGATTGTAGCTCTTTGGGAAATGAGATGTTGGAGACCTTGAACTGGCAAGTTGGCTGAAGTCATCAAACCATAAAAAAGCCTTTAGAACATTTCTGTACCTTGTGATAAAGAAGGGAGCATTACTGTGTTATTATTTGAGTCATTATTTATGTGTGGAATATCTGTATGGGCCAGGCCTGATAAAAATTGTGCTAACATGTTGACACTACTTTATTTGCTCCATCTAGGCTACTAGTATATCCATATGAATTACATAGCTCATTCATTTCCAACATTGGTTCTACTTTTGAATAGAAACACCTGTACAAATTGTTGACTCCAAAAGCATTTCTGTTTTGACTCAAAATGAGGTGATGAATAGCATTCACAATCAAGAAAAGGAAGAGTTTGTAAGACTCTCTGAATGTTGGAGAGGCCGTGAACTTTGGAGGTCATCCAGTATCACTCTTTCATTTTTCAAATGAGAGCCCTCTGGAAAGCATAGAGTAATGAGATAAGCCTAAATCTATGTACTTTATGTGATTTTTAATTTTTTATTATTGTTATATATCATTTAATTCCTTCCCTTAAACCAAAGCATTAAAAAAAATCAGCAATCAGGAAAAATTCCTAGCCTAAAACACATTAGATATTTTTCATGACTTAAATATTTGGTTTTCTAGGCCCCTCCCTTTTAAAAATGATGTAGTCTATTTACATTGAGTGGGTAAAATAAATCAAATAAGTGATTATATCTTTTACTAAATTTTGTTGCTTTTCATTTGTCTTATTTTTCTGAGTCCTTATTTCTACTGTTATAAAACTTGTGGTTATTCAAAATATTTCAGGATCCTTCCAACTTCTTTTGGTAGATGTATAGAATTTACCAGCACACTCATTCAACATTTTATTGTCAAACACATCCTTTTACTTAGATGAAGGAAACATTACAGAAAATAGAAACTTCAACAAGAAAATTGATGAAGAAGGGGAGATAATGCTTATTCATGGGATCTATGGAACATAAATTAGATTTTTACAAACTGAAATTCTTCTGGTCAGTATATAGATCAAGAGTAGTTTCATATGACAGGTGATACTTTACATTTATAGTAAGTACTTTTTTTTTACATTTTAAAAATTTTATTATGTTAATCACCATACAGTACATCATTAGTTTTTGATGTAGTATTCCATGATTCATTGTTTGCATATAACACCCAGTGCTCCATTCAGTACGTGCCCTCCTTAATACCCATCACCAGGCTAACCCAGCCACACACCCCCTCCCCTCTAGAACCCTCAGTTTGTTTCGCAGAGTCCATCTATTGTTATTTTCTTTTTTAAAAGTCTGACTCATGTCTCAACTACAAAATCGGCCTAATTAAATGATATTGGCTTGATGTCTGTTAAAAAAAAATTAAAAAAAAACAAACAAGCTTTTCTCTTCAGAAACCCACCCTAGGATTTAAACTGATATTTTGTGTGTGGGTGTGTGTATGTGTCTGTGTGTGTTTTAATCCTATTTTCTCTACAGCAAAGCATTCTCAACAACAAATTAAGTTTCCATTGTAAGAACATTTTAAAATAGGTACTGTGATCTCTTAATTTCTTTCATCCCACAGAGATCTCGTCAAGCTATAAATCAGAATTAAGTCTTTAAAGTTTTAATGAAGTTGATATTCT